GATACTGATAGGGAGCCGATTATATCGTGCATCCCTAGTAAATTGTCTTGTTCCATTGGCAAAGTGTCTCACTTACCTCCTCAATTCAAGAACAGATGCACTTATTTTAAGAAACAAATGACTTAACCGGGACCTACAGCTGCTGGGTGGTCTTCTCAGAGTAGAAGCCGATGGACTTGATGGTGGTGACCACAACCACCATGCAGAGGGTGACGGGGACGAACAGCATGATGACATGCTTTGCTCCGTACTTCAGGGACAGCTCCTCCTCCTCCTCCTCGAGTTCCGCCTCCTGATCCAAACCGCCGCCGCCACCTGGACGAGTCCGCCTTCCAAACCCCGCCTAGAGCAACACATAGCAGAAGTCATCTGGAAAAAAACGTATCGGTTAGAAACGAAGAAATCAGAAGCAGACAAATTACCGCTTTACTGTGGGAGTCCTCTGTTGGGCTGTGGTCCAAGTCCGGTATGTAAGACGGAACCGCGGGGTTCTCTGATGGAACCAGAGCCGTCCGCTCGTTGTAGAGTTCCTCATCACTGTCCGATGCACTCATGGCTGCAAACAGAAGGCGGTTTGTTTAGGAGGACTCATCTGCAGAAGCTGCTCAGTGACGCAGTGGGTGGCACTGCTGCCTTGAAGCAAGAAGGTTCCAGGTTCAATTCCCTGCCTGGTTTCTTTCTGCATAGAGTTTGCATGTTCTCCCTGAGCATGTGTGGGTTCTCTCCAGGTATTCCAGCTTCCTCCCACAGTTCAAAACCATGACTGTTAATTGGCCTTAAATTCTCCTTAGGTGTGAGTGTGTGCTGTGGTTCTATGTCCTGTTTGTCGTTGCCCTGGGATAGAATGGCGACCTGCACAGGGTGGACCCCGCCTCTCGCCAATAGAAAGTGGCGGTTCTAGACCAAATGTACCAGGGGGCCAGCATGTTTTTCATGATATGTGTCAGATGTTAANATTTACTCAATCCTATATTTTTAGCTAATCTGCCAGTCAAAGATTAGGACATTAAAATGAAGATGTATCCTTCTGCTGGTATATAATATTAAACACTTGTATAATCACATGTCTTTATTGAAAACTTTAAATTTTAAAATAATTAAAATAAAATACCTTTTGTAGTATAGAAATTGCTAGGGGTGTAAATCACATCCATCATGGGGATTCGATTCAGTATCGATTTCCTGACCCAACGATTCGATTATTTTTGATACTCAAGAATACACCACGATACAATTCGATTCATTTGTTAATTGTTTTTATTAATTTTTTTTACACCTTACAGGCTAAATAAAGTTTGAAATAAATCAATGAAAACTGTAATATCGTTATGCATTTTTTTTTTAGAAACAACAGCAAAAAACAGAAGTAGAAAAGTTGCATCAAAAAATACTGCAAAAATACTGCACATAATCAGTGCAATGAGTGCAATGCAATACCTCGGCTCCAGACGTCCCCGCCCCCTCCACAGACGCTCCGCTGCTCCTCTCCCAAATTGTAGCTGGCCGCAGACAGGAGGCCGGCTTGTTTTGTTTTTATGACCGAAATTGCGGAAAACAACCTGTGAAGTCTGACCCGCTAGAAGAGCGAGGTACGCGAGAACGCTGGGACCCTTTTTCCACCTGGATCTCCGCCTCATGTCCCTCCGTTATCGGACAAACTCTCCCCCATTTCCTCGCTGCCTCGGCCGTATCTATTTCCACAGTGTGTAGCACAGACCACACTTCAATATTGAGCATAAATCAAAAATGTCTGTCAAGCTTACTGCAACACACTGCTGTAAGAGTATAACCAGGAAGCGAGGTAGGAGGGCAAAATAGGTTTAGCGCCACCGCAGCACGGGAGGGAGAATTACGCCCAGGAGCAAATGGATAAAAATAGACCGGAGGAGAAAAAAAAACATGAATCCATTCTCTTGTGGACGTGTCGATGCATCGGATCGTCGGCTGTTGGATCGATGCATCGATACAAAACAATTATTATTTACACCCCTAGAAATTACCCATGTACCAAGAAAAAACAACTTTTTAACACATCAAAAACTACATCAAGAGACAGTCGGTTACTTTAGCATGAGAGCACAGTCTTTCTTTTTTCATAATTT